GGTTGATTGGGGAAGATGAAATGTGAGAAGGGGACTACCCGATCAGATAAATTTGTTGTTTATTCGCGATTACCCAGTCGGGTAAAGGGATATACCCGATCGGGTATTCTTCCCAGGGGCCGGCAAAATGTTTTCTAGGCATATACCCAGTCGGGTATAGCCATGTACCCGATCGGGTATTAGTTATTTTTTTTTCTTTTTTTTTCATTTTTTTGTTCCGGCCGGGTGGGTGTGTTTACCCGGTCGGATTTCTTCTCCAATGGCCATTTTGTGTATTTACCCGACCGGGTATATTGAGATACCCGACCGGGTAATATCCCTAGGTCTTCAAAAAAAAACTTTTTTTTACCACACTTAAAATACAATAACAAAACACAAAACATGGGTTGTCTCCCAGTCGGGTATAGCCATGTACCTGATCGGGTATTAGTTATTTTTTTTCTTTTTTTTTCATTTTTTGTTCCGGCCGGGTGGGTGTGTTTACCCGGTCGGATTTCTTCTCCGGTGGCCATTTTGTGTATTTACCCGACCGGCAGGGGCGGATCCAGGAAAGTCATTTTGGGGGGGCGAAAATATTTTTGGGGGGGTTAAAAATACTTTTTGGAAGAGCAAAAATCATTTTTCGTATATATATACACTAAAAAAAAATTTGTTGGGGGGGCGGTAGCCCCCTTGGATCTCTACTACGGTCCGCCCCTGCCGACCGGGTATATTGAGATACCCGACCGGGTAATATCCCCAGGTCTTCAAAAAAAGGTTTTTTTACCACACTTAAAATACAATAACAAAACACAAAATATGTGTTGTCTCCCAAGAAGCGCTTGATTTAATGTCGCAGCACGACGTTATTTTAATTTTAATTTCTGTTTTAATTGGAATCATGAACATCCCTTGTTTCATTTTGAGTTTTTTCCACTTTTAGTCCTCCGACTATTATGCCATTGACACTTTTGGTACTGGACTTTGATTTTTTCCATTTTTAGTCCTTGACTATTGCGCTAGAGACACTTTTGGTACCCGTCTTTGAAAATTTCCATATTTAGTCCTTCAACTTTCATAAAAGTGACACTTTTGATCCTTCAACTATTATAATAGTTACATTTTTAGTCCTCCACTTATTGTGTCAAAATCATAATGTGAGGACTAAAAGTGTCAATTTGACAATACTCAGGGTCTAAATGTGGGAAACCTTGAAGTCGAGAACTAAAAGTGTCTCTAGCACAATAGTCGATGACTAAAAATGGAAAAATTAGAAGTCGAGTACCAAAAGTGTCATTGAAATAATAGTCGGGGGACCAAATATGGCAAAAGCTCTTTCATTTTCGAAGGCCAAGTTTGGCCAAATTTCAACTTTCTTCCTCTCCCTTTTCCAGTAAGGCCGAATTTTCTTCCTTGTTACCACCTCAACAGTAGGTGGTTTTACCTCGCGCTGAGGTGACTTTTTCGGTTCTTCTCCTTTCAAAATAGATTTTTTGGCTCAATTTCTAATTCTTTTAAAATTGAGATTTTTTTAGTTTCCTCATCAACAAAAATATTTAGTGTTGGTGGTTCAAAAACATTTAAAGAACAAAGAGATTGATCTTTAATTTGTGTTTTCGTAGAGTCAAAGATATTGAACTCTACTTTTTGATCATTGAACTCTAAAGTTAATGAACCACTAGGCACGTCAATTTTTGTTTTTGCGGTCTTCAAGAAGGGTCTACCCAAAAGGATGAGTGTTGTTTGGTCAGCATCCTCCATTTCAAAAATATAAAAGTCAACAGAGAAAACCATATTTTCTACTTCTACTAGCACATCTTCTATTACCCCCTTCGGGTAAGTAAGAGAATGATCCGCTAGTTGAATCACTACACCGGTTTGATGTAGTGGGCCGAGTTGTAGGGATTTATATAAAGAGTAAGGAATGACATTTATGGATGGCCTTAAATCCAACAAGGCCTTAGAAAATGTGGTGTCCCCTATCTGGCAAGGTATAGTGAACATGCCCGGGTCGCTACATTTTTCGGGGAGTTTATTTTGAAAAATAGCGGAGACACACTCACTAACCGTAACCTCTTGTTTCCCTTTCACTTTATTTTTCCTTTTCATTGTGCATAGTTCCTTTAAACTTTGCATAACGGGGAACACTTTTGATTAGTTTGAAGAGTGAAATATTTACCTCACAATTGACGAAGGTCTCGTAGATGTCCCGATCATTCTCAAGCTTCCTTGTGTCCTTTAGTGACTCAGGGAATGGAGGGAGTGGTTCATATGATGAAAGTGGGGGAAATTTGTACTTCGTTGGCTCCTCCTCGTTGTGGCCAAATCATCTTTGTCAACCTTCTGTTCTTCAACTTCCTTTGTTTGCAACTCCTTACCGCTCCTCAACATGATTGCATTGACATATTGTCTCGGGTTTTGCTCCGTTTGAGAAGGGAGCTTTCCCGAGTCTTTTGCCTCAAGCCGGCTCACATCACTTGAAATTTGGCTCATTTGGTTCTCCAAATTTTGGATGCTAGATTTAGTCGTATCTTGGAATTGGGCCACACTTTGTTGTATCATTGATACACTCACGGCAAGTGCTCGATTCATGTCTTCGGTGGACATATTTGAGCTTGAAGTTTGGCCTTGGAAAGGTTGGTTGTATTGTTGGGAAGAAGAATTTGGTTATTAAGGATTCCCATACCTCAAATTTGGATGATGTCTCCACCCCGGATTGTATGTATTGCCATGCGGATCGTACCTCTTTTGACCTTGGAACCCCAATGCATTGATTTGCTCGGGATTATCCTCTTGTAATGTTGGACAAGAATCGGTGGGGTGCCCTTGTGTTGAACATATGCCGTAGACCTTGACTTCTTGAGTTTTTGGATTTTAGAGAAAAACTTTGAACAAAGAAGTCAAACCGGCCATTTGACTTTCCAATGAGGTGTTGGACTCCGCTGCGGCAACCCTTCAGGTTGAGGACCGCCCATTGTAGTGTCTAGAATTATCAGCCAACTCTAAGATGAGATTCCTAGCTTGGGAAGGGGTTTTGTTGACAACCCCCCCTCCAGATGGTGCGTTAACCATGCGTCTATCTTGCTCCGCAAGACCATCATAGAAGTAGAGGATGAGGTCTTGCTCTGTGTACCCATGGTATGGGCAACTAGCACATAACTTTTTGAATCGCTCCCAGTATTCATATAAGGACTCATCATCTTTTTGATCGATGTTGCTTATTTTTTTTTCAAAGATGCTGAGACGCAGGCGGGGTAGTACCTTTCTAGGAAGCATTTCTTCATTGACGCCCATGTATCTATACTCCCCGAAAGGAGATAGAATAGCCGATCCTTAACCGTGTCCTTCAGTGAGAATGGAAAAGCTCGTAGTTTGATTTGTTCTTCTGCAACATTGTTCGGTTTCATACTAGTGCAAACTATATGAAATTCTGAAAGGTGTTTGTTCGGGTCCTCGCCTCTTAGCCCGTGGAAGGAAGGTAGTAGATGAATGATCCCCAATTTGAGCTCAAATGTAGCACCTTCATCAAGAGTAGGGAAGGTGATACACAATGATTGTTGATTGAGGTTTGGAACTGTGAGTTCCCTCAACGTTCTTATTTCAAGAGCCATAGTTATTGACTCTTCGGACTCGCTAGAATGAGAACTAGCACTTGATGAATCTCCGGTAGATGATTCCTCCGAGTCGGTATTTGAAAATTTACTTTTCAACCGCTCGAAAGTTTGCTCTATTTCCGGGTTTGTTTGATAGGTGATTTCGTTTATTGAACGGTGTTTAACCATATACTTCATAAAGCTCAGAAATAGAAGAAGTAAGATCTCTTTATATTTTGTTTATTTATTATTATTTTTTCTTGAAAGAATTAAAAAGAAAAATAATTGCCTCTCCCGGCAACGGTGCCGAATTTGAGGAGCACTTCGTCGTAGTGCATCAAAATAAATTCAATACTAACACTTATACGTAGTATAGTGAAGTAGAGTTCGTATCCACATGGAAAGGAATAAATCTCTTTTTAAATGAAACTAGTAATTAAAGGGGGGCTTGGGGTTGATTGATTTAATTTAGAAAAAATTCCACTTTTGATCCTATGACTATTATACCACTTCCACATTTAGTCCCTTACTTTCAGATTGTCCACATTTAGTCCGTGACCATTATCCCCTCACCACCTCTCGTCCTTCGGGTCAAAATTCTGGCAAATTTAGTCCACTTATCAGCCTCAAAACCAATCTTTGCATTAAATTTTATATAAGGTTGGGTTTTTCATATCAGTCTTTGCATTAAATTTGGTTTTTCATACCTAAAATCTGCATTAAATTTGCCGGAATTTTGGCCGGAAGGACGAGGGGTGGTGAGGGGATAATAGTCACGGACTGAATGTGGACAATCTGAAAGTAAAGGACTAAATGTGGAAGTGGTATAATAGTCACGGGACCAAAAGTGGATTTTTTTCATTTAATTTAATTAAAAACTAAGATGAACAACCTATATGTGATTTAATTCAAAGATAAAAAGAACTTGACTTTGCTACTTTCCACTTGTTGATATATTTATTCGATCCTTGTTATATCTATAACTTATCCCTTCTCGAATACTCAATCGAGGAGTATATCCAATTCATCGAGGGTAGTTATTAACAACGACCGTTCATTAATAACCCTTACTATTAATCAAATATAGAACAACACCTTATACCGATTTAATAGTAGCATTTAATATTTCTAACTCCTTGATGAAATCAATTGAGATTGATAACCTCAACACAACGGTTTCGGTTTAACCAACAAAATTAATCCGTTTATTGACCGCGGCCATGCATTAATAAACCGAAGTTACTTACTTGTGAAACCATCAACGATTAACCATCGGTTCGTTGATCGTTTCTAGTAATAATTAATATTGAGATGTTGACTAATTGTCATCTTAGCAACACCCCCAACATTAATATAGAAATAGATTAACGGAAGAATTAATATTCAAGGAAAGAAGTTAAGAAAATAACTCACAACTTTAATAATCAACAAGCTTCAAGAGCAAAACCAAGAAATGAAAGTTTAGCTCCTCATTTGGAGACTAAACATTGCTAAAAAATATAAAGAAATGCTATTCTAAAGTGAGCTTAAGAGTATGGAAGAAGGAATGAATGTTAGTGAAGGAAAAATGTGTTATTTATAGGTGTTTTTGAACACCTTTGGACGGGTACCCTACCGGGTATAGTACTTACCCGGCCGGGTACCGATCAAAATCGAATCGATTGACCATGTTCTTATGTTTTCTGCACATTCTTTGGTCCGGGTCACATCATACCCGATCGGGTAAAGTGCCATACCCGACCGGGTATGTGTGCAATTTCCTGGCAGCTTCCATTTCCACTTCCTACCCGACCGGGTAAATAGTATACCCGACCGGGTAAGTCACCTGGACAGTTTTCTTCACTTCAAAGTCCTCTTTTCCACCACTACAAATCCTAACACTACTTTACAACTTACAAATGAAAGCTAAAATACATTTACAACTAAAATCACACAAATGTTTACAAACCAAATAAAAAGTCAAACAATCAACATAAATCTAACATAAAAATATATAATTACGCACTACTAATTAGTGTGCATCAATGACAATTCCCAGTTATGTGCTATGTGGCTTGTTTTTAATCCAATCGTTTCTGGTCTGGAAGTGATAATGCTGATGTGGTTTATTTCTACCAACATGGATGCATATCATCGACATTGTACGCTTAATACGCAGTTATGGCTATTTTTGTTTGATTCGAACATTCAAGCTTCCATGGCCGAGGACGAGGTACCTGGAGGGATTTGGCATGTCTTTGGCCGTCTCCTTCGCTGAAGTTATTTCTCTGTACTCGTATTTCATTCAAGTAAATACTTATCTATAAGTTTAATCGACACAAACCTATAAGTGAGAAGAAGATACATAGTATATAATCTTGAGTTAAGGGTGGACCTCGTTCCAGAAACGGACTGAATGAAGCAAGTTGATTTTTTACAGTTCAAAACCTGAACTGGTCACACCGGTTGTGAATTCAGTTCCTCTACCAAATGGAACTGATTTGTCTTCAAGTTCCCCCATACCTGGAACTGGCCAATTCAGAAGCGGACCAGATCAGCTTTTGATCCACCTGAGTTTTTGTTTTCTCCTGTATAATTAATTAGGTCTATTAAAAATTTCTCCTAAATTCAGAATTTAGTTTCGATACTTGTCGTGAAAGTTGACATCACTGGTATTCTGTTTACACTTAATATAAAGTCCATGTTTACACTATAAACTATGTAAAGTAAATGTTCCGACATTTTGACATTATGAAATGTTTGTATTTGTAGAATGTTTTTGGAAGCACAATTAAGAATACACTATGGAGGTAATTTCGTTAAACAAGTGAGGCTTTCATATGTAAATGGTGAGGTGCATACAATAACTCTCGAGCCAGACAGAATCTCTTATCCTCACCTATTGAAGTATATCACAGAGGATGCATACAAGAAGGTGGAATCATTATCCTTTAAATTACCCGCGGAGAAGAGGGAACAGTTAAAGCCATTATGGGATGATGCAAGTACTCATGAGCTTATTGAGATGGCCATCAGTTTGGGAGTAGTTGAGATTTTCGTGGATCATGGTATAGATGATGTTGAAGTTCTCTCTGAATTGGCTTTGGCTTCTACAGAAAATGTTGAGGTAGTACAACAGATAAAAGAGAGGGTTGACGCTGAGAATGGTATCCATATAGGAGTTACATCGGATACACGAACAACCTTATCTCAACAAAAACATAATGAAGTTAATAAGGATATACCACAATGTGAAGAACAACAAGAAGAAGTGCATTTACAGTGAGGGGATGATCACACTTCTAAAGAGCATGATGAAGGAAATGATTTCATTTCTGGAGAGTTAGGAGCCAAGCAGATGGAATGGGTAAAGAAGATGAAGGCTTGTGATGATATGCATTCAAATGTCAACGATGAAGGAGAAATAGGCGAGTATTATGCCTCAGATGAAACCCCTAGTTTATATTCAGAATCTGGAAAAAATGAGGCAATATGTCATGAGGTCCAATCTAATATGAAGTGTCGTTCATATAATCCAACTTCACAATCCAAAAACTTAGAGTGTACTATGTTGTTTGAAGATGGGAGCCAGTTCAAAACAACCCTAATAAACTATGCAGTGGAATTTAAGAGGGATATCAGGTGAGTTAAGACTTAAGAACGAGCTAAACAGACTTCAAGCAGCTTGTGCACCAAACAATCCTTTTAAGTGCACAGCTTCATGGGCTAATCAGTACAAATGTTTGCAGTTGAAGACCTGGGAAAGGACCCACAAATGCAACCAGAAGTTCAGGTTGAAGCTAATTAGTCAAAAGTGGCTAGAAGATAAGTATGAAAATAAGATAAGTGAAAATCCAAACATTGGAAAGGCAAAGCTACAGAAACTAATTTGTAGTGATTATAAAGTTCATGTCAATATTTCCAAGGTTAAGAGAGTGATAGCAAATGTGCTTAAAAGGGTAAATCTGTCATTTGGGGATCAATTCTGTAGGCTGAGAGACTACACAGAAGAATGCATCAGGTCAAATCCGGGAAGCACAGTAATAGTCAAAACACATCGGATGTATGAAGATGGACCATATGTTTTCCAAAGGATGTGTGTTTGCTTTGAGGCTTTGAAACGAGGATTCTCAACAGGTTGCCGCAAAGTTGTTGGACTGGATGGGTGTATTCTTAAAGGCATGTTGAAGGGTGAAATTTTAAGTGGAGTTGGTAGAGATGCAAATAATGAAATGTATCGGATAGCATGGGCGGTTGTTGAGATAGAATACTCGGAGACATGGAGATGGTTCCTAAATCTACTGAAAGAGGACCTTGAGATCAATAACACCTTTCATTGGACCTTAATGACCGATCAACAAAAGGTATTAACTGTGATGCACATTTTTATTTATCTCATTCATATATGTAATTGTGTTTATATATGTAACAATACAATATGTTTGTATATGTACCTTATTCATCCTTTTTGTATTGTTCAATGTACTCTCTACCCCTGAGATAACTAACTAACTTACAGTATGTTTTATGACTATTAACTAATAAGAGTCAATGATAAAAAAAATTTATATTGAAGATATGCGTTTTATGGACCATATATATTGTCTTACCACATGTATGCGATCACAAGGGTAAATACACATAAAATTTGAACAAATTAAGGAGTCCATTATCAACGTCCATAATTACTTGAATCCAATTATAATTCTAGAAATTAAGGAGTCCATCATCTTTACAATCTATAGATTCAATGGATATGAAAAAGCAGCTCGAATTTACAAGAATTAAGTGGATAAAAATGTAGATAAAAGAATAAAATAGAAAAGTAAAAAATTAGTTTCTTCAATTTAAAAAAACATATTTTTTTAGTCTAAAAAGAATTATTTCTCTTATAAAATAAAACTCATTGAGTAACAAATTTATATTAAAAAAATACTAGGGTGAGTTTTTTGCGACTTTACAAGACTTTTAATGTAATTTTTGAATATGTAAATTTTATTGTCTAAAAAGAATTTTATTATTAACAAGAATCACTTAAGTTTATGACCTGTCAAATATCGTAAACTCAACTGGGACCTTTACCCGGGCCGGAGGTAGTATACAATATTCATTCAATCTCTTTTTTATTTGAGCAATGTGAGTTGATTTTTCCCGTGCAACGCACGGGTTCATTGTCTAGTACTTGTACAATTGAAAATTGTAAATCTAGTCCTTACCTTTATAAATAAATTTGCAAAAACTTTAATTTATTTTGCTATTTATAATTTTAATTGAAAATTAGAATGTGTTAAAATTGCTAGTTTAGTGCTTACCCTAGCATAGAATTTTGTATTCTCTCATTCATCAAATATGGATACTTTCATCAATCCCAATTGCTAGAGTAGAGAACTGAGTTAATAGTATTCATGCTAATAGAAGTGTTAAACTCTATTTGGTAGATGATTTTTTGTTAAACTCTTGAATTTCTTGTTTTTGTAGGAACGTAAGTACGTAACCATTTGCAGTCACAACCGGAGTAGGAGTGGACTCGGGCCGGGCCAACCGGCCCGGAACCGGCCCGGCCCGCTACTGTGCGGGCCCGGACCGGCCCGGTTTGTCGGTTAGGTCACGGTTCGGGCCACCCGGCCCGGTCATGTAGCGGTTCGGTCCCGGGCTCATATTTTGGTGAACCGGCCCGGCCGGTCCGGGCCCGGCCCGGGCCTCAACGGTCACTATTTTAATTTTTTTTTTAAATAATTGAAGGCTCTACTAGCCTTTGGGAGACCTCCCAAACGGCTCTATAGCCGTTGGGAGCATAGGAGGGGGGGTTAGGGGGGGGTGGGGTGGGGGTGGGGTATACATAAAAAAACCTATTTATACTCCTATTTTCTATACATTTTTTACACCTCTTCTTCTACAACTCTTCATACTCTCTAAATTCTCTATTCTCTCAATCTCTCATATTCAATCATCTTCATTCTTCATCTTCTCCAAATTCTTTCTACATATATATAATTTATATAATTATTATATCTACTTATATATTAATTATCTACTTATAAATATATACTTATACACATTCATATTATAATTCTTTACGCATTATATTTTATATACTATATATAGTTATACATTATATTATATATTACTTATAATATATTTACACATTATATATTTATATATACTATATATATATAAATTACTTAATTTATATATACACTTCTCGTTTATCTATTTAATTACTTAATTGTTTCATTTGTCATATTATTATTAGTTAAAGTAGTTAATTGTTTCATTTGTCATCTAACATTGAACAAAGCTCAGGTAACGAGCTTTCTTTGTATCTAACATTGAATGTTGATTATGATGTTGGTGATGACTTTCTATCTAATTCTCAATTGTACTTCTTATTTGAAATAAATATACTTCAATTCGAATATAATATATTGTAATTGTAATAAGAATTATTCTAATTATATAATATATAAAAATAAAATAAAATAAAAAGGCCCGGCCCGCCGGGCGGCCCGGCCCGTGAACCGGGCGGGTGACCCGAACCGAACCGGACCCAGGGTTATCCGGGCCGGTTCCGGGCCTGCCTTCCTTGAACCGAGGCCCGGCCCGAACCGAGTCCACTCCTAAACCGGAGGTATCCAACAATGGGTTTCAAATTCAATTTTACTTCATATGCACCAATCATACACATATACTCCCACGACTAATTCATATAGTGATTTAATTTTGGTCGGAGAGGACTTTGGGGTTGAAAATCAAGTCATCAACTCTAACCAAGATCCAAACAGAAGTGTATATTACAATTTTGGGGCATACAGTAGTTGTTTTTGAGAAAAATTTAAGGTTTAGAAGAGCTGGCTTGCTGATAATTTTGGGATAGGAAGTAGTTGAATTTGTAACTTTTGTTTTTCTTTGCTAATTTGATTGTTATAGTACATTGTGGATAGCAGTTTGGGGCTTATTTATTTGAAGCTCAGCTTTTGTTTTATTCAGCTTGAGACGTTGATGATTAATACTAAGAGCATCCACATTCATGCTACTTAAATAAATGGATTTCTAATGACACCTAGATTGACACGTAGGTTTTTTCAAAATAATCTCACACTTTCTAAATTACATCATTCATCATCTCAAAATAATTAGATCTTTTGTGGGTCTCACACTCACCAATTAATACTAGCTGCACAATAATCTTAAGATAATCTGAATTCATATTTCAATCCAGGATTATTTTGTCAAATAATCTTCATCACTCAATCATGATCTAAAAAATAATCCACCACGTCACTAACTTAACCCTCAAATAATCCTATAGATGGAGATGCCCCAATTCGTATACGGTGCAACCGGCGCACCTTGAGCATCATGCTCCACTTCCAAAAACGATGTAGTTTTGCATAATTTTTAAAAAATATTCGCGTGAACAGTACACAGGTGAACAATACACGCGTGAACAGTAGCTATTTTTTTCTTTAGTCCCAATAGCACGAATGATGTAATTAACTCGCGTGTAAAGATATGTAACTCGCGTTATTGATCAATGTAACTCAAGTCCGTTCGAAATGTAACTTGTAAAATACATAGTATAAGAAAAAAATATTGATTTCAATGTAAACAATGAAAAATGAGAGTCTAATTGCACAATTGCTTTAGGTAAAACGAGAATATATTTTGTTTTTAATATCATGGCCATAATTTTTTTTTAGAAAAGATCATTATTTTTTGTTTCAATAGCAGGAGTTGATTTTTTAATGTAAATCGTGTTATTACAAATGCAACTCGCGTTGATGGCAAATGTAACTTACGTGTATACAAAATGTAACTTGTTGGAAAATTCAACAATGATTTTTTTGTGTGTGTTTGAGATATTATAAACATTGATTTCAATGTAAATAATGAAAATTGATCTTAATAGCTTAATTATTTTTTATAAATAGTGAATATGTTTTATTTTTAATATTAGGGCAATAAAAATGATATAGCTAGAGTTTATTTCGTGGTGTAACTCGCGTACATTAAGATGTAACTCGCGTATATTAAGATGTAACTCGCGTACATTAAGATGTAACTTGCGCAGAAGAAGATGTAATTTCATGATATATTATCAAATGTAACTTCAAGAATCAAAATAAACAAACTCAATGTCTTAAAAACCTCTAAAAAATTATAAATTCGGTAGTAGTTTCAATTGAAGAAAAAGGTAAAAAAAGTAGTGTGATTCTTTTTTTGGGCAAAAGTAGTGTATGATTATTAATGCATTGTACTTATTTTATGTGGATTAATAAAATGTTGTAATAGTTTTTTTAAAAGAAGTTAATTGATCGGTTATAATTAAATTAGTTAAAAATAAAGATAAGTAAAATCACAATTTTTTTTAGTATTTTGATGGAGATGAGAAAAGAATTGAAGAAAATAAAAGAAAAGTAAAGAGAAAGAAAGAGCATACCTGGAGCATTGGATGACTTGAGAGAAAAGAAAGCGGTGGACTTAAGGGAATTTGGGAAAAGAACAAAAGACATGCGTAGTGCTCCTAATAGAAAGGAAAACGGTATCGTATGTGGTACGGGCATACCATGCTCATGATATGGTGGTACCACGGTATAATTTGCCGAGATGCCCTAAGAACTTAAAAAAATAGATATTAAAGACTTGTGACTTTGGTGTTTGTTTCCAAGAATATTACTTTGCTTCATATCAAAACTATTTTTCGTTACTTAACTTATTAAATAAGTAACTTAATAATATTTTTAATTGGACTAAAAGTTTCTGATCTCAACTAGTCTTAAGATGTTTGTTTTCTTTGTAGTCGAAGACACTGGTATTATTTGTGCAGTTTTAGTCTGGTCTAGGGTGAAAATCAGACCAATTAAAAACATCTAAAGAATTTTATTAATTTAATGAATTATTGATTTATGTGAATTAAGAAATTTTTAAACATTTCATTCCAGGAATGATCTGTAGCAGAGTTGATAACAAATGCAAAAGAGAAGAAAGAAGTTAAAATGAAAAGAAAAAGAAAATGAATAAGAAAGGAGCAAATAAATGCGGTCGAAGCAAAAGTCTATGTTAAGTTGTCAAAACCGGACCGCAAGGTGACCCGATCAAGGAATCGGGTCAAGAGTCAGCCGGGTCAACCCGGTTAAGGTTAAAATACTATTAATCTAATACTACGTATATAACACACACGCACACACAATTATATACGGTAGAGAAATGGTGGTAAATAGGAATTTAAGTTTCCGTATGTAATTAAATAAGACCTTGATTTTTTTAACGTCTAAATAGGGCTTGTTTTCCCATCTTTTACAAATTTGCCCTTGTCGTTTTTTTAAAGCTTCGTGTCGGCAAGTTTTCTAATACCACATAGAACGGTTCTGGAAACCAAAGGAATCGCAACTAGAGATGGATGACGGTCTGCGAAGGCGGCGAAACACGGCCAGTGGAGGCGATGGAGGAAACCAGCGGCGCTGACGAGAAGCAACGCCGATGGCCAACGAAGGCGATGTTCCCATCTCGCACCTCTTCTTCGCACCGGAAATCTGTGGTGATGCTCCAATTTTGCGGATTCCTTGTTTAGATCTGCGATGTTTCTTCGAATTTTGCAGATTCAGAATTGCAGATCTGGATCTAATTTCCAGTAACATGGCCGGATATTTCTTTTTCTTTCTATGTTGGTTTCTAAGTGTTAGACCCCTAAATTTTGATAAACAGTTTTGATGATGCCAAAGTCTTTATATGTCCCTCGCCTTTTGTAGCATTTAAATCAAAATGATGTATTCTGCTCTAACCAAAATGCTAGTAAAGTATTATCTGAAAGTGTCTTGCTCAATTGGTCAATTAACAAATAAGTTAAACTGGAAAACACAAAATGCAATAAGGTAATATTACATTACCTTAAATAGGATTTCTTATAGATCCTACCAGTTGAACTTATTTGTTAATATCACATCAAATGAACACAAAGTATTTCGAAATATCTATTTCTAAAATGGAACACAAAATACAATAAGGTAATGATTTTTGCCTTAAGAAGGATTTGTTATCCTACCAGTTAAATAAATAGTTTTAGTTCGAAATACTAGTTGGTCAAACAAAACCTTGAGTGACCAAAAGACAAAAGTAAAATGTTTGAGTCAAGTAAATAATACCGGAAAAGTCAAAATACAATAAGGTAATTTTTACCTTAAAAGGGTGTTTAAATCCTACCGGTATATATTTGGCTAATCACAAAACATTTTAAAAATGTCACAAAAACAAAATGCACATTGATATGAAAAATACATGTGTATAATTGAGGACAGATAAATGTATAATTTTTGAGACTAATAAAATTAATACTGGAAATTAAAAATGCAATAAGGTAAATTTATTTACCTTAATAGGATATTCAAATCCTACCAGTATAAATTTTATTAGTACTCAAAAATTGATATTCTGTCTCGTGATCATCCGGAGCCAATCAAACTTGAAGGAATCCAACATGGAGGAAATTTAATGCTAAAACGTACATGTGATCCAAAGCATGGGAGGCGTAGTCAAGTTGATATCTATAAAGGAGAACTGCAGCAGCTAGACAAATAGAGACAAAGAAATAATCGGCTCCAAAGAAGAAGACAAACAACAAGTTGTTATCTTCTGAAACTAAGATTCAACGAACAGGATTAAATCATCTCAACCAACGGATGATATTAATCTACTGGACACGCCTATAAATAAAGGCCGAAGCATGAGTTCTAAAATAAGTTATTGAGTTCAAAAGCAGAGAAATCCTATAAGCATTCAAAGGATATCTAGCAAAAGAGAAAGTGCTCGATCATAACTTCACTCTCTGCTTTGACTCATGCTTCACTAAGCTCTTAGATTAGATCATCACTTTCATATTTTTAGAGCTAAGTTTTTAGTTGGTGGCCAGAAATTTCTTGTATTTTACATGGTGTTGTAAACATTCAGGAGGACAGTTGTTCTCGGCCTGAAGTGTGGTTAGATAGTTCATGAGTACCTTTTGATCTCCACTGGATCAATTGAGAAAAAACTAAAGGATTGAGTAGCTTGGATTGGTGTTGTACTCCTCGTGAAACACCTTCAATCTAGGCCAGAGTTGTCAAGGCTAGATTGGCACTAAGTGTATTGGGCTTAATACATTAGTGAAATCCATCTGAAATAAGGTGAGACTGGATGTAGGAGGATTACACCACCTCTGAACCAGGATATACCGTGTGTTGATTTACTTTCAGTCAACAAGGCACACACCCAACACTTCTCACTAAAGGGACCGTGGTTTGCCAGCAGCATCCTAAGCAGTAGTCTTAACTGACTCTACTGCTTATCGTACTGCTTAATAACTTACTTTTCCTAAGACAACTGTTTCACAAGAGCCTTGGAACATCACTTCTAAAAGGTTTGTTTTGCCAGTTCTCAGAAATACATCTTCCATAAGCAGCAGGTGCCTTAGCAGTTCCCTGGGTCTACCCAACTGCTTAGACCTTTGCTCAAGCAAAACCCCTCATTATCTCTAGCTCAGCACATCTTCAGAAAGCTCTCATCATTCTGTATAAGGCCACATAATCATCTCTCCCAAACTCCCATTTTCCAGTAGCAGTTGCCTCAGCAGTTCCCTGTCATCCAGGCAACTGCCAAGCCAATTGCTCACTGCATTAAGCCCAAACTTCACCCATCATAGAAAGTTGTTATACATTGTTTTTCTAAGAGGCTAAAGACTTCCGATGTGCATCTATAAATCTCCCAAAAGATTTTAGATCAACTCATCTAGAACGGAAAAGTTTTTAAAGTCGATAAAGCTTTAAAAGTCTATTCACCCCCTTCTAGACTTTTACCTCTACACGGGACCATCAAGTGGTATCAGAGCAAGTGTTCCTAGAGTCAGTTTCTGACTAATTTGAACTAAAGTTCCAAATCCACTTCACTTCCCAAACGCTTTCTAATAATGGGCAGTCAGCTTGCAAAGAATCTATTGTTCAATCAGAATAAGTTTGATGACTGGAAAATCAAGGATATCTGGGATGAGCTCACAATGATCTAATCAGAAGATGATCAAAGCAGTTCAAGTGATAAAGGCAGCTCATCAGAAAGTAAGGAAGAGGCCCTGATTTGCCTCTTTGGAATGCACCAAGATGATAGCTCCTCCCACAACTGTCCCATGACCAGATCCAATGAAAATGACAATGATGAGGTATTATCATGTTCTTCAAACAGTTCATATGATTCCAGTTGTTCCAGTGTTGATATGGAAGCATTACTCCATTAATTTGAAAACTTTCAAAAAGATCACCTTCTTTTAATGAACGAAAACTGTAGACTTCAAGAAAATCTAATAGTAGCCCAAGCTCAAATGGGTGAAGTAATAAAAATGAAAGATTTTCTTGAACTTGAAAATATCAGTTTAAAAGAAAGGCTGAGCTCCCTCTCTCTCCCTATTGCTGAGGAAGTTCATCAACACAACTGGAAGAACACATGATTACGATACACACCTTTATCCCAACCATTGAAAGACTCTCCCAAATACTCTCCAATCACAAAACACACCACAGATCAACAAGACACAAGGAAAACAAACCAACAAAATCCTCACTCCCAAACTCTGTCAAATAAAAGGAACCAGTCCTCTCCTAGATCAAAAACAAAACTTCCTTACAAACCCAACTTCCAAAATAACCAACCAAATAAAGGACTTGGTTGGCAACCCATCAAAAGGATCAACCACATTCCAAAGGAAAAGCTGATCACTCCCAATACACATATTCCTTCCCCCATCATAAGGAATAATGTCACAAATATGTAGCCATTCCTTATGAGGAATGGCTATAGACCCATCAGCTCAAATTCAAATGGTCCTAGATGGGCATGGATGCCCAAACTCATTCAAAGGAAGATGCCCACTAACTTGTGGGCTACTACTCCAAACTCGTTTACAGTTTGACTTCACTCATATTAAGGAAATAAATTTGACTTTGCTGTAGAGTACACTATTTGACACTGTTTGACACTGTTTGGCACTGTTTTGCACTGTTTGGTATAAATTTGTTTGCCAAGTAAGGCAAATAAGGAAGTGTAAAGTTTAATATGGGACGGCCAAAAAAGGAAAGTGTAAAGTTAATTAAGGACCAGAGGGAGTATAAAATATTCAGGCTGCTCCATGCACACATGACAGGCAGCAGGAGGCTACTGTCAAGTTTTTAAATATCTGGAGAAGGACCCAAATTAACATTTGAGAATGAGGAAAAAAGAGGAGAAATCAAAGGAGCTGGAAAACCCAATCATATACGAACCTTCAATCCATAACATTTCATATGGGATTGAAGTTCAATCTTATCAAGCACAAGCCAGCTCTGCGAAAACATTTACAATGAGACAATTCTCCATGAACATCTGCTTGGTCAGAGATGTCCAAAACAACAAAGTTGTTCTAACTGGTAAAAGAAAGAAGAATATGGATACTGCTTGATGCATCACAAAAGAAGGAATCTGCCTTATAACCAAAAGCATATTCAAACTTGAGTTGGGATTGGCACCACATCATAAGCCATCTCAATTTCAAAACCATTAACAGGCTATTCATCAAGGGATCCTTCCTGGGCTATTCATCAACTATCACGGACCTTCGCATTCTTAACTCTGGTTATAAAAGAATCAAAATATGAGGTATTTGAAGGACAATCCTCTTCTCATAAAAAGAATAAAGATAAGCCAGTCCAATCAAAGAAGGATACTGGAAATGCTCCAAACTGCCTTGTAACACCCCCAAAATTTCACACCCAAAATACCTTTAAATAAAACATTATTTATTGACTTTATTTGCAAACATCAGGATTGTGCAGCGGAAAATTCATTGGGAAATAAGGGCGTTACCGCCACACTCGGCTCTAACCTAACCAAGTGCACAGGCTAATCTAACAAAACAATTAAACTCAATAAGTGTCTTGAAAACTAAATTAAACTACTGATAGAGTATATATCTAGAGAGAAGTGAGAGCTAGAGAGAGAAGTGCAAGTAAATGCTTCAGTAAATGATTTTGTGAACCCCTACAACTACTCCCAGAGGTAGTATTTATAGTAATAATTAGGGCTGGGCTCCCAAGTCTTGGGTTTGGGAGGCACATTTACAATAGGGCCACTATTGGGCTGGGTACAAGAGATGTAGAAATAATTAAGTATAGGACCCTATTCTGGGGGCCGCTCGTGGCCGATGAGGGTACGACCGACGAGGGCATGGCCGACGAGGACCCGGCCGACGAGGCCACCCGGTTCTCCTAGCTCCTGGACCGTATTCTGAGTAGACTGCTTTCCGGCTGATGGAGGTCATCTGGGCCGACGAGGGTCCCACCAGGTGATCGTGGTACCTTCTGTTCATCCGAGTGTGTGGGCCATGGGGTCCAGGCCCATATACTCCATCAGGAGCCCCCCACTCTCTGAGTTGAGACGTAGACGAGGTGAGGGAGAGTAGATTTCTTACCTCTGATGTTTTCTTTCTGTTGTGGGACCCTTCCTTGTTCTTAGCCGTTACGGGCACCTTTTGATCCGGTTCCTTGTTTTATGGCCGTTGTGGGTACTCAGCGTCTTGGCCGCTGTAGACGAAGAGGGACCCAGTCATGGTGTGTATTTTCTATTTAAGGACGTTGGGTGTCTTTGCTGGGTGGGGACGATGAGCGTCCTTTGTCATGAATGGCCGATGAAGGTCATGCCCACTCATGACAGTTGATGGCTGAATTTCGCGCTTTTTGGGCCGAGGAGGCCCTTGTGGTTATCTCCTGTTCAAGGATGATGAGTGTCCTTTTGTTTCCGGGTGGCCGGTGAGGGTGCTGTTTGCTTCCTTTGGCCGTTGGCTGCGTTCTGTGTTTTTTGGCTGGAGCGGTGATGTCTGTAGTCTAGCATTCACGCTTTTGAGGACGATACTAGCACTGATCCGGGAGGAGTGGTGTGTGTCCTGGTCTTATGGACGATGGTGATTCAGGTATGTTGACTTCCTGTTCTTTGATTCCTGGCCGAGAGTGGAGTATGTGGTCTCAAAGACGATAAGTGCTCTGTGATCTCAAGTGTTGCACTTTTGGAGGGAATTCTTTGTTCGCTAGTTTTGCTGCGGCCGACGGTGCACCACGAGGTTATGGACGTTGTGGTGCATGTCTGATGTTGTAGTTGTGGACTTGGTATATTTTTGGATTTCTTTGATTTTGTCCTGATTTTCAAAGGCCGGTGTAGTCCCCCAGTCCTCCACTGCTTCAGGCCGAAGAGTAGGTGAGGGGTGAAGGAGTAAAGGATTTACCTAGGCCGAAACGGACTCTTGTGTACACCCGAATCCAATTCATTGGCGATTTCCTGACCAAGGTAACCTTGTGGGAGAACCCTTGGACGCAGATCGCTTTCAAGAAATTATCATCAGGGTTTTACACAGGGCCGATGGCGTGGGGTTTCTTGTTGATTGTACCACTGTGGCTGTTGAAAAGGCCATGCAATTGGCATTCTGTGTAAGCTGATATGGACACGCCTTGAGAATGGCATATCCTTTTGAAGTGTCTTTGTGTTGAGGCCGATGCGGACACGATCCCTTAGCGTGGCCGTTGAGTGGTTGGCCTGTTGGCGGTGAGCTGGTATTGTGGAAGTGGGCCTGACCCGTCTTCTAAACCGGCGCCAGCCCAATGGGCCTTGGGGGTGCTGGCCGTTCATGTGGCCAATGAGGGGTTGCCACGTGTAGTGACCGTTGGGGGGAGGTCTATAAATACCCCCCCTTCCGAAGAGGTTCCTCATTGCATTCCTGAGATAACGAAGTGCTGCTGAATTTTATAGAGAGAGAGAGCCTTTGCGTGTGTTCTTCCGTTCTTCAAAACTTCAAAGGTCAGTTCGTTGAAATTTTCCCAAATTACTTGTGTACTTTGCTTATTTTAGCTTTGATCCTCTGTTAGTGGAGAAAACACCCTTAGATCCAAAGTAGAAACTCTTAGGCTTTAGTTAGTTGTTATGATGAAGCCTTTGAACGACGAGTACTACCCATACGACGGCTCTGTTCATGAACCTGTACCAGATCGGCCGAGGGAGCCACAAAAATTGTGATGGTTATGCTAATCTCCAACAGCTGCCGAAGAAGAGGAGTTTCACTGACCTCCCTTCGTCCATTCATGGTTGGAAGAGCAAGTTCGTCTTCGTATCCTTAGGTGAGGACGGCACGGAGTTTCCCTCAGTTGGTCATGACAGTAAGTTCACCCTTCACGACGTGTCGAAGAGTAGTATTTTGGTTGCCCAGGTAGCGGCATTTCTGAAGGGAGGGCCGAGGAGCGTGAAACATTACATCACAGAGTATAAGATGACCGCTCTCGGCTTCATGAGGTATTATGTATACGGCGACAAGGAAAGTGATATCGAGCTGTGGCCGAAGATGACCACCACCTTTGAGGAGGCCGATGGCCCGGATATGGGCATTCCTGCTGACGCCGATGGTAATACCCTCCCTGGCGCCTTCATCCATTTTTCCTTTTGTTTTTGCTAACTGTTTGTTTTCCTTGTTGTGCAGACTTCACTATGGATCACAGATCCGTCATGGCCCTAGCAAAAGCTAAGGCGAAGGAGGAGATGACCGCAAAAGAGGCCGCGAAGATGGCCGCTGCGGGAGGCGCCCAACCAAGCTCCGATGCAGCGAAGAAGCCGCCTACGCAGCCGAAGAAGAAACGGCCTGCGGATGACGGCCAGAAAAAGCTCACTGAGGCCGGTATGCAGTCCAAGAAGCCGAGGAGGGCTTCCCCTCTGGCCGATACTGGTGCTGATGGTATGACCGTGCCGGATGATGATGCCGAGGGCTCAAATGCCATTGCCGTTGTGGACGCGGTTTCGGTCCCCTCTTCAACGGCCCTAACCCAGCCGCCGCCTGTCGGCCAAGGAGCTGGCCGGTGGGACCTACAAGCTCGAGGTCGAGTATCCCGTGAAGGGTGGTGTCTTCAATGACGCCGTAGACGGCCACGATGTCCTGGCCCAAACTGTCCTGGTCGAGGATCGGGCTTACTTGAAGAAGCTGGGTCCCGTCAGGATCTATGACGGCGGTACGGACCTCATCGTCCAAGTAAGTTCTTCGTACTTTACGTCTTTTTGTGTCATGGGTTTTGCGTCGTCCTAACTCTTCATTTCCCCTTTTTTGTTGCAGAGCGCTCTTATGCTGATGGAGAGCCACAAGCGGCCAGGAGATTGCCCGCCTGAAGGAGGCTGAGAAGAAGACCACTTCGGCCGAGGAGGCCATGGCCTGCCTGGATCGGCTCCGGGAGGAGGTGAAGGCCCTTCAGAAGGGTGTTGATGAGGCCGATGTGGCCTACTGGCAGGTAGCGGCCGACAGGGACGACGCTTTGAGGGCAAGGGATGAAGCCCTGAGAAGCCTTGATGAGGCCCTACTTCGGGCCGAGGACGCTGCGAGGGCTCAGGCTGACTCTGAGAGGGCCGCTGAGAAGGCCGTTGATGGCGCCATCGAGAGGTTCCTTGCTGAAGGCTGGAAGGCCGATGACCGCCGGCCCTGGTGCTATGAAGTCGTGGCAGACCGGCTTGAAGACTGGGGCCAGAACTGCCCTGCTGGCCAGGAGTACTTTGCTTGTGAAATGGCTGTCTACTACGACATGGGTCAACAGAGGATGCAACGGCTGATATACCAGAGGCTGCACCGGGCTTTCAAAAAGCTGAAGCTCACCTAGAAGTGGGCTAAGAAGAACCTGAACCTTCCACGACTGATGAGGGATCCGGAGGCCGAAACAAAGCTCCCCCCTTCCGAGAGGCAGGATCCGGTGCTCAGCTCTTCAATCCGTGAGCCTGACTGGTCCGACGATGACACCCTAGCCGATACTGCCGTCTCCTCAGCAGCCGAGGCCAGCGGAGGTGCGAGGACGGAGGAGGGTAACGGAGTTGTATCAGGGCAGGCTGAAGCGGAGCGAGTGGCCGATGAAACCGTCCCTGAGAGTTGATCGGCTGACTTATTATGTAATTTAACTAGGCTGGTGTTTGTAACGCCCTTCTTTTTTTGTAATGGCCGTTGAGCCCTCCTGATGTAATGACCTCTTATGAATGAAATGTGCATTGTTTCCGGCCTTATTCTGCCTTGTCCTCGTCTTGTTCTCATTTTGCTTTTGTTCTCAAGCTTTTCAAAAAAAATCTAAGTGTTTGGAATTGGGACTTGGGTAATTTTTTTGAGTACCAAGGTTTCAAGTGGGTGGGTGTCCGCGTCGTCTTGTCATCACACCCCCTTTTTCTTTTGCCCGAGACTTTGGAAAATTTTCTAAGTGTTGAACTAAATGCCACACTTGGTGATCTCATCGGCCCTGTGTTCTTTTCGGCCTTTTTTGTTCCCATGCTCCGTGTTTGAACAGGAAGCCACATCTGATTTCTGTAGTCGTAGCCGATGAGGGGACCTGTCCTTTGACGTCTGAATGTAATGACCGAAGCGCCCCCTATGTGACTTAACGTTTTGACTGAATGGATAGTGCTTTTGTCCCCTTCGGATTTAAATGTTTATGCTTATTGCCTTCGTTATTCCAATTTTGAAATTTGTCCAAGTGTCAAACCAGAACATAGATAACTACCGCCCGTTGCTGGGGCCGAGGCGGGCACTTGCAAGTGTTTGAGTGCCCGCTTCGTCTTGAGACTCTCCCCTCGTTATTCAATACTTTGGAGATTTCTCTAAGTGTTGGGCCATGTAGTTTTCTCTGCTTAGTACCATTTTCAGCCAATTTAAGCGGTGTGGCCGATGAAGGTACCCGTGTGTTGCACCGAGTGCTTGCCTTTTCTTCGCATTTGCTTTATTAAAAAAATTCTCTAAGTCTTTGAAATTCACTTAGGCAACTTTCTTCAAAAAAATTCTAAGTGTTTGAAATTCACTTAGGCAACTTTCTTCAAAAAATTTCTAAGTGTTTGAAATTCACTTAGGCAACTTTCCTCTCTGTTGTTCGCTTCGTCTTGGGGATGAGTCTTCCGTTTTGCCTTTGAGATTTTTCTAAGTGTTCAACTTAAGAAGTCGCCTATGTTTTAGCGCCTTTAACGACCAGCGTCGTCCTGGACCTCCTTTCCGGTGTTCAACTCCAGGATTGTGTTAAGTGTCAAGCTGGGACTCTTGGTTTGCATACTAAGTGTTGGAACTTCGGTCGGTCATGGCCGATGAAGGTAACCACCCTCGTTTCACCCAACCACTTGGTTAGGATTCTATAGGTGCATGCTCCGTCCTTGACACTTTCCTCGTAACGGGTGGCCGATTCGTCCGTGTTACCTGTTGGTATTGTTACCTTTGTATTCAACTAATATGTACGTAGCCAAATCTGTGGCTTGATTCGTGGGGATTTATTTTTACTGCTCGAGGCCGGCAAGTGCGCGCGGTCCTCGGCTTCCCTCTTTTTTTTCCGTTCCCTATTTCGGGGAGTGTCCTTCTTTCAGGTTTCGGTCGAAGGGGTCGATACTCCTCCGGCCGGTTTGGACTTCGTTTATAACGTCCATGGTCTCAGGGGGGTCCCATCGCCTATTTATGACGCGGGCTAGACTTTTGGTTGGTTGCCAACGGCTGTCGTTGCACGACCCTGAGTTTGGGGATTTTGTCACCTCGGCCATGATTTCAGGCCTGTCATCCTGCGATCAGACGCGTGGAGGACGTGGTGATCTTCCCATTTCAAGACGTGGACCGTTTGCGGGTCCGTTGTCCTGGGGACATCGTCGGCTCTGCTTGAGCATACCTGAGCCTTTCGCTCTAGGCTGCAGATGCAAGGCGCCGTATCGGCCATACCTGAGCCTTTCGCTCTAAGGCGGCCGATGAGGGCACTCGTTAATATTTCTCTCAAATTCCAAAAAATCAAGGGAACATGATTTTTATTCATAAGTGGCTCAAGGCCGAGGGTGGTGTTCAATAAATAATCCGTTAAGGGGTGAGGGCTTTGCCGGTTGCACTTCCTTCGGATTATTGATAAAACTTCACCAGATGGTGTACATTCCACGTTCGTGGTACATTGGTCCCATTTGGGCGTTTAAGCTTGTAAGTGTCGGGTTTTACCACGACAATGACGATGTAGGGACCTTCATATTTCAAGGCTAGCTTGCCCCCTTCCGTCGGCTGACTCGCTTCCCTTCGGCGGAGGACGTAGTCCCCCACTTGGAACTCCCGGGAACGTACCTTGGCGTCATAGTATGATTTCACTTGACGTCGGTAGTTCTCCGCCCGGATGAATGCTTGTTCGCGTCTTTCTTCGACCAGGTGGAGATCGATCTTCATGTTCTCCTCGTTGACCTGAGGGTCGTACTGCTCCACTCGTCGGCTGGGAATGGCGACTTCCGTGGGTGCCTTTGCTTCAAAGCCATAGCACATGGCAAAAGGTGTCTCACCGGTTGCCCTCCTTGGCGTAGTACGATAGCACCACAAGATATTGGGGAGCTCGTTGACCTAACTTCCTCCTGCGTCCTGGAGCTTCTTCTTCATCCCCTCCATTATAGTTCTGTTGGCGTTCTCAACCTGCCCGTTGCCCTGAGGGTAGGCAACGGAGGAGAAACGGTGCTTTATTCCCCATTCTCGAAGGAGCTCCTGGAAGGGTGCCACTTCGAACTGGGTGCCATTGTCAGATATGATCTCTTGGGGGACGCCGAAGCGGGTAATGACGTTTTTATGGACGAACTTCTGACATCTCGCCCATGTGATGCTGGCCAAAGGTTCCGCTTCGACCCACTTGGTAAAGTAGTCGACTGCGACGATGATGTAGCGGTTGTTGCCGGCAGCTCTGGGTAATGGGCCGACCAGGTCAATCCCCCACCTTGAAAATGGAATGGCGGTGCTGACGGGGGCGTAGTTGGCGGCTGGCCGACCAGGGGCCTTCTGGAGCACCTGGCACGTGGTACATTTCCTAGCAAGATCTGCACAATCCCGCGCCATCGTCGGCCAGAAATAGCCCTGGACGACGAGACGCCTGGACATACTGAAAGGGCCCTGGTGTGAGGAGCAAACACCGCAGTGAACTTCCTCCATGGCCACTTCGGCCTCGTCATGGTGCAAGCATCGGAGGAGAGTGCCGTTTTGAGCTTGCGATCTTCAATAGTGTAGCTTGGAGCCAAGAGCTTGGCAAGCTTGGCCCTCTCCTCGTCCTGGGGTAGCTCCCCCGTGGTGATGTCGGAGATCCAGTCCTCCGTCCGTTGTTGGATGCACAAGATGGGACTGGCATGGATGCTGGACATGCTCAGCTCCTCGATCTTGGTTAACTTGGAGATGTGCTCTAGAGTATCCGAGCTGAGCTTGGAGAGGATGTCGGCCTCGACGTTCTCGGCCCTTGGGATCTGTGTGATCTCGTGGGTTTCGAACGCTTTCAGCAACTCCTCTGCCGCCTGTTTGTACTGCTTCATCCGGCCTTCCTTTGCTTCGTACGTACCCTCAACCTGGCCTACCACCAACTTGGAGTCGCACCTGACTCTGATGTGCTTGGCTTTGAGGCCGGCGGCAAGTCTGAGGCCGCTGAGGAGGGCCTCATACTCAGCTTCGTTGGTGCACACCCTGAAGTTGAAGCGGATGTCATAGTAAGCTTTGAATCCTTCAGGGGAGATGAGGACGCCGCCGCCCCCGCATGATTTCGCGGTCGACGAGCCGTCGGTGAACAGGATCCACGTGTCATCTAGCTCTGGCCCGGGGGTAGTAGTGGTCGTCTCCCTCGCTGTGCATTCGGTGACAAAGTCGGCCAAGGCTTGCCCTTTCATAGTGGGGTTCCGCATGAGCGCGCCCAGGGGCTGCTGGGTCAGTACGTGGACGGCATGGGCCTGGAAGTAGTGCCCCAGCTTTTTCACCGTATGGACGATGGCTAGCACCGTCTTCTCAATGGGGGAGTACCTGAGCTCGGCCTCCCTGAGTGTTTTGCTGATGTAGAATATGGCCTTCTGCACCCCTTCGTCCTCGCGGATGAGCACGGAGCTAATGGCTGACGTGCTCACCCCCAAGTATAAGAAGAGGGTTTCGCCGGCTTTGGGCTTGGAGAGCACCGGTGGAGATGAAAGGTACCTCTTCAATTCTTCAAATGCTTCCTGGCACTCCGTCGTCCACCTGAAGCTGTTTGCTTTGCGCATGATCTGGAAAAAAGGAAGTGACCTCTCGGCTGACTTGGAGAGAAAACGGCTCAGGGCCGCCAGGCGCCCCGTTAGCCGCTGTACCTCCTTGATGTTGCTGGGCGGCTCCATATCGATGATGGCATGTATATTCTCCGGATTTATTTCAATGCCTCTCCGGCTGACCATATAGCCGAGGAACTTGCCGCCTTAGACGCCAAAGGTGCACTTCTTGGGGTTGAGGCGGAGTTTGAACTCCTTCATGATCTCAAAAATTTCCCGGAGGTCGTCAGCATGTGTGGTGGCCCGCTTGCTTTTGACAATCATGTCATCGACGTATGCCTCCATCGTCCGGCCGAGGACCGTCCTGAAGATCTTAGCCACCATTCTGGTGTAGGTGGTGCCTGAGTTTTTGAGTCCGAAAGCCATGACGAGGTAGCAAAAAATTCCCTCCGGGGTCATGAAGGCCGTCTTCTCAGCGTTATCTTCATGCATGAAAATCTGGTGGTACCCTCTGAAGGCATCAAGGAATGACATCAACTCGCATCCCGCCGTCGAGTCCACCAATTGATCAATGTTGGGGAGAGGGAACGGGTCCATGGGACACGCCTTATTCAGGCCAGTGTAATCAACACACATTCTGAATGTCGGCGGTTTTTGGGCGAGGACGACGTTGGCTAGCCACGTCGGGTACTTCACCTCCTTGATGTGGTTGATTGAGAGGAGCATGGGAACCTCCCCCTGACGAAGTCCCGCCTGTCGGCGGACAAGTAACGTCGCTTCTGCTTAACAGGTGCGGAGGCCGGATCGACGGTCAGCCGGTGGGTGATCACCTTCCGGCTGATGCCTGGCATGTCGTCTGGGCCCCACGCGAAGATGATGGCGTATGACCGTAGGACGAGGAGGATGGCGTCTCGCTGGTCCTGCGGGAGTTGCTTCCCAATTTTGAGGACCCGCTCCGGCCGAGAGGTATCCAGGGGGGCCTCCTCGACCTCTTCGGCTGGTTCAGCATGCGGTCTCTCCTCGTCCTTGGCAACGGTCACCGTGATGGTGTCTATTCTTTCTCCTTCCCTTTCGGCCGGCCTCGTTAGCTTGAGGTAGCATGCCCTGGCTATCCTCTGGTTTCCTCTGGCGTAGCCGATACCGCCACTGGTGGGGAACTTCAAGCATAAGTGCTTCATGGAGATGATGGCCTCCAGGTCCTCCAGTGCTGGCCACCACCAAATCAGGTTGTGGGCGCACTGAAGGTTGACCACCATGAACTCCATGTCAATTTTGGCGCGGTGGGAGCCGTCGCTGACCTCCACGGGGAGGACTATCGTGCCTTCGGCGTCGATAGAGTCCCCGGAGAAACCGGAAAATGGTGTCTTGATCGGCTTCAGCAGAGCTTTGTCCAGCTTCAGTTGCTTGAAGGTTTCCAGGTACATCACGTTGACGGAACTCCCCGTATCGATGTAAGTGCGGTGGATGATGGAATTACCGATCTCACACCGGATGATGAGGGCGTCCCTGTGTGACCCCGTACCTGGAGGCAGATCCTTGTCGGTGAAGGTGATCACCTCCGTTCGTTGCTTCTTCGGCTGGGGGCGAACGTGGGACACCTCCCCAATGTAAAGGGATTGGGCCCATTTCTTCCTCTGGGTGACGGAGTCACCCCCGATGTTCCCAGCTACGATGAGGTGAATGTGGTTCTTCTTTGGTGGAGGCTCCTCAAAGTCTTCGTCGTCGCTGAGCCTACCGATCTCCCGCTTCTTCGTAGAGGGTTCACCCCCAGATTTGTCGGTGTTTACCCACGTATTTTTGCGCGGGCCACCTTTAACAAATTGGGAGAGTTCCCCCTCACGAATCAGGCGCTCGATGGCTTTCTTCAGCGTGATGCAGTCGTCGGTGTTGTGTGAGGAGTTCTTGTGGAACCGGCAGTAGGTGCCGCCTTGCTGGATGGCAAGGACTTCCTCCGTCAACCGAGGAGCTTGTTCAATGAGGCTGTGCTTCTCGACATAGTCAAGGATGGTGCTGACCGGGTGCGTGAGGGGAACGCCCGGCCGTTCCAACCTCGGCCGCCAATGGCGGTCTTTCTTGCTTTGTCCACCAGAGCCGTGACGGCCCTGGGCACCCTGGCCGGACGGGGATGTTCCCGGGGCCGGCGAAGGATTTGTCTTCTTGGAGGGGTGGCCTCCGTCCTTCTTGTGGTTGTGGAGCTCGTCGGCGTCGGCGTACAAACTCCCGCGCTGAAGCGCCTTCGCATACGACCTCGGAGGGTCGGTGATGAGGCTCCGGGCATACGGAGAGCTGCGGAGGGCTCCCTGGTAGAGGACGAGGAGGGTGCGCTCATCGGCCCCCTCGACCTCTTCGGACTCCCTCGTCCACCGATCAATGAATGACCGGAGAGGTTCGTCGTGTTGCTACTTGACGGAGAGGAGATGGGTGAAGTACTTCTTCGCACGTTTCCTCCCGGCAAAGTGGGTGAGGAAGCGCTGGGCAAGGTCCTGTCACGAGTGTATACTTCGTTCGGGAAGAGCGTTGAACCACTCGTACGCCGACCCCTCAAGAGTGGAGAGGAACCAACGGCAGTGGTATTCATCCGATGCGTTCACCATCAATGTGTTGTTCTGGTAGCGGCTGAAGTGCTCCTGGGGGTCTGATCGACCGTCATAGGACTTGATGACGTTTCCCCTGTACTTCTCCGGGATGGGAGCCGAGAGCACCCTGTTAGTGAAGGGAGTCCTGGTCCTGACCTGGATGACGGGATCACCTCGTCCTTCGGCCAATTCCCTCTCAAGGGCGCTGACCTTGTTCATGAGTGCATCGAGGCCAGGATCGTTAGAGGCACCGGCCGTGGGAATGTTCGCCGATTGTCTGGCCTCCATCTGGGCCAGCCTCCTCTCCAGTTGGGCGATAACCTCGTCCCGAGGGTCCCTGGCGGCCGCAGCGGCACCCTGTTGGTTCTGCATGCGCACCTCGTGTGCCGCGTTGATCTTGTGGCGCACGTCATCCTCGTGCAACTTTCCCTTGCCCTTGTTCAGGTGGGGCTGGTCCGCTGTCCGGGACACAGACCCCAGGCTTTCCCTTGGCGAGCCAGGCCGGCGCTCACCAATCCGTCCCGCCATCCTCTCTGAAACCGGACGACGGCGCGTGTCACCCAACCTATTGAAGGCAGAGGCTTTTCCACGCGCTGGGGTCGGTCCGGGCCGAAGAGGGGAAGCAGGGTGGGAGTGGGATGACGCCATGTCCTGGGCTATCATCCCTCATCGTTGCCTAGCTTGATGGCCAACGATTGGGGCTGAGGAGGTGGAGTGATGTCCCCCCAGTCCTTGGCATGAGTGCGCTGAGGACGGTGGGGTTCTGAGCCAAGCTGGCGATGATGACCGATAGTGCGGCTTGAACCTGTAGGTCAACAGACGGAGAAGCCGTAGCCAAAGGTTGGCCGGGGCGTTGTCTGTCTTCTCTGCGCGCTTCTTATCCAGGCCGATGCGGGCATCGAGGGCGCCGCCGTTGAGCTGGTTGTGCAGGTCCGTCGTGAGATTGATGGCCTTCGGGAAGACGTCCCCTCCTCCGACCTGGTCGGCCGTGGCGTCCTCCTCACGCTCCCTGTTCTCCTGATCCTCAGGGATGGCCTTGCTGACGAGGTTGCGATTTGACTTAGTTCTTCCCATGATCAGTGGTTAGTTGTGCTTGGTAGCAACGAAGGATGCTAACTTGATTGTTCTAGATAGAGTATATATCTAGAGAGAAATGAGAGCTAGAGAGAGAAGTGCAAGTAAATGCTTCAATAAATGATTTTGTGAACCCCTACAACTACTCCAAGAGGAAGTATTTATAGGGATAATTAGGGCTGGGTTCCCAAGTCTTGGGGTTGGGAGACCCATTTACAATAGGGCCATTATTGGGCCGGGTACAAGAGATGTAGAAAAAATTAAGTATGGGACCCTATTCTGGAGGCCGCTCGTGGCCGATGAGGGCATGGCCGACGAGGCCACCCGGTTCTCCTGGCTCCTGGACCGTATTCTGAGTAGACTGCTTTCCGGCCGATGGAGATCATTTGGGCCGACGAGGGTCCCACAAGGTGATCGTGGTACTTTCTGTTCTTCCGAGTGTGTGGGCCATGGGGTCCAGGCCCAACTACAATGTTATCTACCAATTACATTTTCTCTAGCGGAAGCTCTCTCTCGAAATCAACATCTTCATCAAATCATCACTTGTACAAATAAAGTACAGAAAGAAAAATAAAAGAAATAAAAATTAGCAACAATGCTAAGTAAGTTCCACCTAACTCCGAAAAAATAAAAATAAATAATATATATAATTGTAAAACAATTCGTAAAAATATATTTTCAAAATACTTTATAAATCATAAGTAAAACAACATTCGTAAAATATTCTTATAATGCAAATAATATGCAAAATAATAATATTTCGAATATAAGTACATATTTCAAAACCATAATAATTTCAAAATATCAATATACATAAATCACCAAATATGATCACAATAATTTCAAATCATAAATCAAACATCAAATATTCATCTCAAAATACATATAAATAATTATAAACAATATTCAACATAAATAAACCAAATCAAATCCAAAAGTATTTATACTCTAAAACCCCACAAATAATTTAATAACTCAATCCAAATATAATCAAATCCAATAATCCAACAATTCCAATCAATTCAATACTTCAATTCCATCACAAATCCAATCAAATAATATTCATCTCAAGTCCAAATCAAGCCAATCAAATAATCTCAATCACCTCAATCCAATCAAAGTCCAGTCCACTCAAGTCCAGTGAAAGCCAAACTCCTACCTTAAGTGTGCACACCCCCTAAAAGGGATTCCAAGCCCTCCAGGTAGAAAGAAGCCCGAGTAGTTAAGATTTTTCTACCAACAACACTACAATTAAGCTGGAATACTCCACTTTTGGGAAGTACCCCTGGTGGATTTAGACTTATAGTCATTACCACTCACCAAATTATTCCACATTTATCCGGATGTAGCAAACCGACACCACGGATTTCATCGGGTGCTCACAAAATTCATAATTCAATCTCAATCAAAACGGATATGAAAGCCAAACTCCACAAAATCATCCAAAATGTAAAATATTAACATCAACAAACTACACTTGAATTCATCATACAATAAAATTTCACAAAAGAGCCAAATACTTCATAAATATAATCCCAAATAACAATTCATAAGATATTTCAATTACTCAAAAATATCGTCCAATATCTAATACTCAAATCTCAAATATATAATTCTCAATAACAATCCATAAGAAATTCAAAATACTCAAATGTAAATACTAGAAATCTCATAGAGTACTCAAAATAATTTCAAAAATGATTTACGAGGAAAAATAGAATTTTGGTTGATGTGAAACTTACCTCAAATTGCGATAAATCTTAACGGAAACCTCTACCTCGATCTTCTCCAAAAGTCACCTTTTAAGAATATTAAAATTCTAATATCAAAGTTTTATCTCATAGTGATTTCTCTACCCTTTATTTATAAATTCCCCTTCTTATGCTTCTTTTATTTCACAAGTTGTTCATCTATATAGTCATATAACAGTCTTTAGTTTAATGACATTAATCTAGTACGTAGCATTAATGAGTTAATCGGCCCAAGGGTTATAAAAAAACACCAGCCCAATAGTTAAATAAAAGGAGCATCAACGTACTGTACGTTTCCTTCGGCAAAAATCGTCGGCCAAGAGAAGCAGGGAAGTGACAGGTGTTCTCCGGCGTCATACGGCGTTCAGAAGCAGCCCCCTACGCTCCTGGAGAATCGGCCGTCCTCTGGCGACTCAGTGCGGGTCCAACCCGTTGCTCCGCAGTCACCCCCGACGGTCCCTCTTGATTGGCGTAGAAGCAGTCCGGCAACAAGCTCCCTTCTTCGGCGACTCGTTCAGTGGCTTGCTAAGACGCCCCTTCCAGACCGGTATCCCTCCGGCTTCGCCCAGACAGAATCTCAGCCAACAGATTTACCTCTTCAGTAGTCCAACGGTAGATTACGAACAACTGGGTTTCTCCAGCGTTAAAATTGGGTCTTCTTCTCCGACGAAGCTTCATTCCATTTCCTCCCCTTCTAGCGACGAGGCGTAGGAAATGTTTTCGCAGGCTAGTGACCGAATTCCCTTGAACGTTCAAGATGGAGTGTATAATACGTAGTGTATCTACTGCGTATAACCTTCGATTGCAGGTGTTTGGTTTAGGCGCAGAGATCATTTGTATATATAAGCACGCACGAAGATTCCAGACCCTAGGGTTTCCAGCGGTTGTACTCGCAAGTTGAGTAATCCTTCCGTTACCCAAAATCTTTATTTTATACTCCCTCCGTCCCGAATTGAATTGCAAACTTTGACCGACACAAGGATTAAGGAATGACAATAAATTATGTTTTCTTTTTACATTTTTGCCCATCTTTCTAAAAGTAGATGTCTTTAAGTTAATGGGGAAAAAGTAAAAGTAAGAGTAAATTTGTCACTTTATTCTTATTTATATACCTAAAATAGAAAGTGGAAAATCATTTTGGCACAACCAAAATAGGAAATTTTGAAAATCAAATTGGGACGGAGGGAGTACTCCATATCATAACTATTAATATTAGTGTATTATTATGGAAGGTCATGAGTTAATACGTATGCTAGTTTCTATATGTTAAAAAAAATCAACCTTTGTTATTATTATTATTATTAATCGACACTTTTGTATTAAAGTTGTTAAAATTTTACTTTTGTTATTTCAGTCAAAATTATGTTATTATATTTTATTCAAATTTTCGGGATGTCACAATCTACTTCACTTAAAAAAATATGCTTCGTCCCTGAAGCACTTAACTTATTCAAAGAAGGTTACGTTATAAATCATGCAATAGAAGTGTGCGTTAATGTACTCCGATCCATAAATAAACATCTTATTTAATTTTTTATTTTATTTTATTTGCATTTAAATTTTCAGGGTGTTACATGCCTTCTCACCAAAAATTAACAAAAGATGACTGGACTCTGGAACCAGGAGCTGGCTCAAAAAGCAGACCACTGCCAGCAGATGACTCAAATGAGAGACCTCTGCCAGCAGATGACTCAAATGAGAGACAACTACCAGCAGATCACTCAAATGAGAGACCACTGCCAGCAGTTGACTAAAAATAAAGAACACTGCCAGCAGTTGACTCATTCTAAATCAACTCTCCAGACGCTCCAGCTGAATTTAGCACAAGGCTTAATAATCCTCAACCTCTTACTCTACCAGAAGACAGTAAAGAAGAAGAAGAGTATGAGCAGGTAACTCAATTAAATCAAACATCTGACACTAGATGGTTGAACCAGCATCCTTCTCAAAATTATTGGTGATATCAACAAAAGGGTTCGTTCAAAAATCATCAATCCAGAGAGAATCACTTTTCTCATCCTTCATCCCTCAAACAGAACCCAAGAGAACTGAAGAAACCCTACCAGATTCCGACTGGATACAAGCCACATAAGAACTAAAAATAGTTCAAAAGGTACAATCTATGAAACTTGTATACAGACCCTATCATCAACATATGATAGGAACAAAAAGGGTGACTAAGGAAGGCATCTTGTTAAGAATTAGGCAAAGATTGATGGTCAAAGGGTACTGCAAAGAAGAAGGATTAGATTTTGATAAAACCCTTGCCCCAGTTGTCAGACTTATAGCTACAAAGATATTCTTAGCACATGCTGCCCATAAGCAATTCACAGTCTATCAAATGGATGTGAAAAGTGCCTTCCTAAACGGTCTACTAGAAGAGGAGATCTATGTGGAGCAGCCTCCTGGATTTGAAATCAATAGAGAGGAAGATCAAGTGTTCAAATTAAAGAAAACGCTCTATGAACTCAAGCAAACTCCGAGAGCATGGTATGACACTTAATCTTTAAACATTTAGTGAAAAATGGGTTCACTAAAAGCAAAGTAGACAACATACTATTCAAAGTTGAAGAAAGTCCTCTCATACTGCTTGTATGTGAAAACTCAAAACAAGCATTATGTAAGAAATTTTCAGCTCTCAAGCAAATTTGAAATGAGCCTAAGGGAGAGTTGAACTATTTCTTGGGACTACAAACGGAACATGACTCCACAAGATTGCTACATCAACCAAGCTATTGAATTAAACAAGATTCAAAACATCTCGACAAGAGCTTGGAATGATGATCAAAGTAAAGTAATTACCCTATACCCACTCAGGGGGAACTCAACTCTTAAATTGAGGGGGGAACTCCTAGCCACCTGCTGAGAGGGGAACTCTTACACAAATACTCAAGGAAAGTCATCTGCTCAAAGAAAACCTACTCAAAATCCGAACAGTATGCTCAGCAGATGACTGACTTCCACAAGCAGTTAACTCAGCAGGTGACTGCCAATCAGGTCACTGCTACATTCTCTAGACTCCTACAGAACTAGGGTGACTGCCAAACAGCCCACTACTACATTATCTTGACACTGAAGAAGAATGACTCGTGAGAAAAACAAAGTTGTTTCATAAACAGCAGAAGGCTCAATTATAGACACATATACATGGAATACCAGCATTTGGTACAAACCATCTTGATCCCCTCAAAGAAGAAAATCTAGAAAGGGAAGCTCCAAATAAGCAAGCATCAACTAAGGGGAAATGGATACACAAAGCCATCACAATCAAGAAGGAAAGAGGATGAAAAAAGCAAAGAAAAGGATGAGAGGTCTAGATCTTGACTCAACAAAACTTAGCAGTGAAATCAGAGGAACCTGCTACCACAAAGAAACCAAGAGTCATGATCATTAGCAATGGAGGACAGGAGGAACAACTATCTCAAACTGCTGAAGCTCAAAAATAAAAAACCGATTCATAAAGGTACTATAAAACTCAGCAGTAGACTCATATATGGATTGAAAAAGGAATACCACTAGTCTGTAGAATCTAAATTTTATTAGGAGCATCCAGCTCCTTCAGCGTCCTAATAAAATAAAATTTACCTACAAATATAGTTAGTATCCTATTTTTAATGATTACTGTCGAAAATTAGCCATAAACAAACTAAAACAGTATCCTAGAATTATCCATTTCCGAGCAAACAAGGCATGCAAAAAGAAAGTGTCAGACTTCAAAACAAAACGAATTTATGGTTACATGCAACATGCAAGAGCAACACATGTTGATCCGAGTAAACCTACTCAGTGGCGTCATTAATAGTGGTAATCAATACCATTTAATGAAATTCTCATGCTTTCTCTTGAAAAGAGAACTAGCCGCTAAAACGTTAAATCAACAATGCCTCGACCTCTTAAACAAATCTCGAAAGATAAAGAGACGATCTGAACAAATTGGATATAAATCCTCTTCTTGAGCATGTAATAGATCATCTCAAAATCTTGCATCTATTCCTCTACAAACCTTCCTTCAAAACCTCTCCTTCCCTCGAAATGGCTAACTCATTCAAGAATATCTCCCTAGAACTTTCTCTTGCACCTCCAAGCCAACAAAAACCCGCCACAACAGAAGAAACTTTTGCTGAAATCGAATCTATGATCCTCTTCAACACCTACAAGGGAACTCTGGATAAAGATTTTCAAAGAATGATGAGATGGAGAACAAGCAGATTCTCACCAATCAACATTCTCTTCCTTGCCTACGACTTTATCCGAGAAGAAGAGAGATTTGCTCTTGAATGGATGCAAAAGTCAAATGCCGAGTTTGCTCTCTGCAAAGAAAATATTGTCAGAGTCTATAATGTCAAACTAGAGCTGATCAGACAAGAGGTGGCAAGACAGAAGAAAAGAAAGACAGATGCAAGCTTCTGTGTTGGAGAACCATCAAGCTCGAGAAGAAGAAATCAAGAGTAGAATAGGGACCACTAAAGAAAAATGCTACCAAAAGAGGGGGAAGAAAGAAGTCAAACATTTTACTCTCATTATTATCTTATTAATCCTAAGTTAAATGTTTGACTAACAACTTCTTTTGGCATCATCATAAAAGGGGGAAATTGTTAGACCCCTAGATTTTGATAAACAATTTTGATGATGCCAAAGTCTTTATATGTCCCTCGCCTTTTGTTTCCGTATGTAATTAAATGGTGGTAAATAGGAGTTTAAGTTTTGATAACAGTTTTGATAACAACTTGTTGTTTGTCTTCTTCTTTTGAGAAATGGTGGTAAATAGGAGTTTAAGTTTCCGTATGTAATTAAATAAGACTTTGACTTTTTTAACTCCTAAATAGGACTTGTTTTCCCATCTTTTACAAATTTACCCTTGTCTTTTTTTAAAGCTCCGTGTCGGCAAGTTTTCTACTACCGCATAGAACGGTTCTGGAACCCAAAGGAATCGCAACTAGAAAAGGATGATGGTCAGTGAAGGCGGCGGAGCATGGACAGTGGAGGCGATGGCGGAAACCAGCGGTGCTGACGAGAAGCAACGCCGATGGCCAACGACGGCGATGTTCCCATCTCGCACCTCTTCTTCTTTGCACCAGAAATCTGTGGTGATGCTCCAATTTTGTAGATTCCTTTTTTAGATCTGTGATGTTTCTTCGAATTTTGCAGATTCAGAATTGCAGATCTGGATCTAATTTCCAGTAACATGGCCGGATATTTCTTTTTCTTTCTATGTTGGTTTCTAAGTGTTAGACCCCTAGATTTTGATAAACAGTTTTGATGATGCCAAAGTCTTTATATGTCCCTCGCCTTTTGTAGCATTTAAATCAAAATGATGTATTCTGCTCTAACCAAAATGCTAGTAAAGTATTATCTCAAAGTGTCTTGCTCAATTGGTTAATTAACAAATAAGTTAAACTGGAAAACACAAAATGCAATAAGGTAATATTACATTACCTTAAATAGGATTTCTTATAGATCCTACCAGTTGAACTTATTTGTTAATATCACATCAAATGAACACAAAGTATTTCGAAATATCTATTTCTAAACTGGAACACAAAATACAATAAGGTAATGTTTTTTTCCTTAATAAGATTT